TTTTTGGGCGATTCCCGCAGCAGCGACGGAAGAAGAGGAGAGAGGGGGGGGAGGGGCTGGAGCCGCCTCCCCAAAAACAGAGTGAGCCCGAAAACCCGGAATTGTCACCCAAAAACCCGGAATTGTCACCCAAAAACCCGGAATTGTCACCCAAAAACCCGGAATTGTCACCCAAAAACCGGGAATTGTCACCCAAAACCCGGGAATTGTCACCCAAAAACCCGGAATTGTGACCCAAAAACCGGGAATTGTCACCCAAAAACCCGGAATTGTGACCCAAAACCCGGAATTGTCACCCAAAATATGGGAATTGTCACCCAAAATTGGGAATTCTCACCCAAAAACCAGGAATTGTCACCCAAAAACCCGGAATTGTCACCCAAAAACCCGGAATTGTCACCCAAAAACCCGGAATTGTCACCCAAAATTGGGAATTGTGACCCAGAAACCCGGAATTGTCACCCAAAAACCGGGAATTGTCACCCAAAAACCAGGAATTCTCACCCAAAATTGGGAATTGTGGCCCAAAATTGGGAATTCTCACCCAAAATTGGGATTTGTCACCCAAAATCTGGGAATTGTCTCCCAAAATCGGGAATTTGCACCCAAAATCCGGGAACTGTGACCCAAAAACCAGGAATTGTCGCCCAAAAACTGGGAATTGTCACCCAGAATCGGGAATTTGCACCCAAAATTGGGAATTGTCACCCAAAAACCTGGAATTGTGACCCAAAACTGGGAATTGTGACCCAAAAACTGGGAATTGTGGCCCAAAAACGGGAATTGTCACCAAAAAATGGGACTTGTCACCCAAAAACCGGGAATTCTGACCCAAAAATCAGGAATTCTCACCCAAAATTGGGAATTGTCACCCAAAACTGGGAATTCTCACCCAAAAACTGGGAATTGTCACCCAAAATTGGGAATTCTGACCCCAAAATTGGGAATTGTCACCCAAAACTGGGAATTGTCACCCAAAAACCCGGAATTGCAGCTGGAAAAATGGGAATTGTGACCCAAAAATGGGAATTGGGAATCGGGGCTGGGTTTTGGGGTGATTTGGGGTGGTTTTGGGATGATTTTGGGTGATTTTGGGTGTTTCTAGGGTTTTTAGGGTGTTTGGAGTGTTTTTTGGGGTGTTTTTGTGTCATTTAGGGGTGTTTTTGGGTGATTTTGGCTGATTTTGGGTGATTTAGGGGGATTTTGGGCCGGTTTGTGCCAGTTTTGGGGTGTTTGGGGGTGTTTTGGGGAGTTTTTGGGGTGATTTTGGGGTGTTTTGGGTCATTTAGAGGTGAGTTGGGGTGATTTTGGGTCATTTAGGGGTGTTTTTGGGGTGATTTTGGGTGTTTTTAGGGTGTTTTTGTGTCGTTTTGGGATGATTTTGGGTGATTTTGGGTGTTTTTGGGTCAATTTGTGCCGGTTTGTGCCGGTTTTGGGGTGATTTTGGCTGATTTTGGGTGATTTAGGGGTGATTTGGGGGGATTTTGGGCCGGTTTGTGCCAGTTTTGGGGTGTTTTTGGGGTGATTTGGGGTGTTCTGGGTCATTTAGAGGTGATTTTGGGTCATTTAGGGGTGATTTGGGGTCATTTAGGGGTGAGTTTGGGTAATTTTGGGTCATTTTGGGGTGATTTTGGGTCGTTTAGGGGTGATTTTGGGTGATTTGGGGTCATTTAGGGGTGATTTGGTTGATTTTGGGTCGTTTTGGGGTGAGTTTGGGTGATTTTGGGTCATTTAGGGATGATTTGGGTTGTTTTGGGGGTGATTTGGGGTGATTTTGGGTCAT